GGGGGGCGCGGGCGGCGGCGCCGACGGGCAGGCGGCGGGGCCGGGGGCGGCGGCGGAGCCGGGGGCGCTGACCGCCTCCAGGTCCCCGGGCCCCGGCGGCCGCCTGTCGCGCGCCAGCTCGCGCTCCGTCGAGTTCTTCCTGTCCCGCCGGCGCCGGGCGCGCAGCAGCGTGTGCCGCCGCAAGGTGGCCCAGGCGCGCGAGAAGCGCTTCACCTTCGTGCTGGCCGTGGTCATGGGCGTGTTCGTGCTCTGCTGGTTCCCCTTCTTCTTCAGCTACAGTCTGTACGGCATCTGCCGCGAGGCCTGCCAGGTGCCCGACCCGCTCTTCAAGTTCTTCTTCTGGATCGGCTACTGCAACAGCTCGCTCAACCCGGTCATCTACACGGTCTTCAACCAGGACTTCCGGCGGTCCTTCAAGCACATCCTCTTCCGACGGAGGAGAAGGGGCTTCAGGCAGTGACTGGGTCACGCCCGCCTGGCCCGGGGATCCTGGACAGCTAGCGCCACGCGCTCGGGGCCGGGCGGAAGGGAAGGGACCGCCGGGCGGGGAGCTTTCCCACTGCGCCCGGGATGGGTAGGCCTCCAGGGCGCAGGGGAGGGTGCGCCAGGGCAGGAGCGTGGCGGAGAGACAGCGGGCTCCGGGGAGCGGGGAGGAGAGAGGGGGAGACCCCTTTGCCTTCCCGCCTCAGCATGGGGCCGCTTTTGGGGCTCCCTCCCTGGCTCCAACTCCGGGTAGCCTGCGGAGGTATGGCTATGAGGTCAGGGTTTTAGAGAGCAGCGGCAGAGGCAGCCCCCTAAATGGGCGAGCAAGGAGCCCCCCAAACACACCACCACCACTCCCCATCCCTGTCTGACCAAGGGCTGACTTCTCCAGGACCTAGTCGGGGGGTGGCTGCGGGGGGCAAGGAGAAAGCACCGACAATCTTTGATGACTGAAAGTATTTGTTTGCCAAAAACAACAGCCAAAACAACCAAACTATTTTCTAAATAAACCTTTGTAATCTAACGTTGGGTGCGACACTCAGTCCTTGAGCGGGGGCTGGGGGCACCTTCCACACCCTCATCCTGTCTGACACCCCCTCACCCAACGCTGGACGGAGGGCACCCTGGGGCTCCAGGTTCCAACTTCCCTCTTGCCTGAGAAGGAGGATGTCTTGCTTTTTCTCAGGCTACCCCTTTGGGTACATGGAAGGTATGTACTCAGAATTCCTGTGCTGAGAGTAGAGAGGAGGCGAAAGGAGCCTAGAACCCCCAAGTTGGCCCTAAGTTTAGATTCTGGGGGACGGTCTCCTCACATTCCCATCCCTGCCCGGTGCCCTCCCCCACGCTGGTGTTCAGGGCCTCCGGGTGGAAGAGGTGGGACTCTTCCAGTCCAAGCCTAGAGTAGCTGAGCTAGTCCTCCCGGCTCTGCGGGCGTGGCTCTTGGGTGGAGAGAGGGTGGGCTTGAGGCCGGCAAGCCCCCACACCGTCATTCCAGACCAGAGGCTCTGGCCAGGTTCAACTACTGCCACGTTCTTATTTCCGAAACAAACGGGAAGTCGCTGAGGCCCTAGAGCAGCTGAGTGGGACCAGCTGGCAGTGGCCGGGGCAGGGCTGGAGCCTGCCTGTTTCCCGGAGCCCCCAGGGTTTCCCAGTGCAGTCTGCCTCCCCTCCTCCACCGTCAGGCCCAGCAGGTGTCCACACACTGTCCACACTGCTGCTTGAAGAAGGGCAGCGGCAGGTGGGGAGAGAACACCAAGGTGTGCATCCTGCCACTGTGCCTTCATGGTGGGGGGACTGCTGGGACTCAGCCATGTCGCAGGGCCGCGAAGCTGCGGGACAGCTGGGGTGGAGGGGCGGAAGCAGGACAGGGCCTGGCAGGAGCTGGGCAGGGGTCTCCCCAACACACACGCACAGGTAGCTCGGTGGGCGTGTGGGCTGTGGCCGGTCTCCTGCTTGTGATCATTCAGTCCCCCCTTTTCCATCCCCAGGACCCCCCCCCGGGCTTCCCTGCGTGTACCCTCCCCTTCCCAGACCCTGCCTGCTGAGCCCAGCCCAGATCCATCGTGGATACTGACTTCTCTCCCTTTGGCCTGGGGAGGGGTCAGCCCTGGGTCCTGCCTGTCTTCCCTAAGCCCCTGTCCTCGAAGTCAGGTTCCAGAGCAGGGGGCCTGACTTGCCAGGTTGGCCCTTCGAGAACACCCCTCCCTGCAGCTGCCTGGCTTCCCCCGCAGATGATGGGTCTTCAGGACACCCCAGCTGGGAAGAGTTCTCCCAGCCATGTCCACGGCTGCCACATGTGCTAACTCTCACACCTGCCGTGTGCTGGACTCAGACACAGGTGGAGAGACGCAGACAGCAGTGGCGGGAGGGGTGGGGGTGGAGAGCATGGCCAGTCAAGGCCGATGAGGACATCCCTGACCTCCCCCGACCGGGCCTGGGCAGGGAGTCCTGAGTTGTTGACCCAGCTCGTCCTGGAACTGCTGCACGGGCTCAGACAAATCCCTGCCCTCTGGGCCCTGCCTGGGAAGTGGAGGGGTCTCTGGGAGCTGTCTTCGGCCCTGCCAGGCCTGCCAATCTGTGGGCCAGCCTATCTCCTTAACCTGAGACCACAGGAGACCCCACCTCAGAGACTCCATGGCTGTCATTCCACCCAGGGACCCTCCGAGGGCAGGCCTCGGGGCTGTGAGGGAATCCTGGCACCCATATGAAAAAGACCCCAGACTTCAGGATTTCTGCTCCAGAATCCGCATCTCACCAAGCTGGCAGGAGGGACCCAAAACTCACGATTGCAAGATGGGAGGGCAGACCCCAACCCTTCACCTGCCAGCACTCAGGACCCCCAGTCCCACCCAGGGCACCCTTCCCTTGAGAGCAGCAGCATTTCATGTGATAACGCATACATTTCATGGGGCTCAGAGAGGTGGGTTAACCTGCCTGAGGTCACACAGCTGGTGATAAGCCCCAACAGAGCCCAGGTTTCCTGGCTCCAAATTCAGCCAGATGACGAGTATTTCTTGAGTATCTCCACCAGCTCCTGCTGCCTCCCAGGAGGTTTTCAGGAATGGGCAACTTCCCACAGACCCCACACAGAGGCGCAGCGTGAGCAAGGGTCTGGAGGGAGGAGGTGCAAGTGTGTTTTAAGAAATGGGGTGCCAGCGTGGGGAGGGGGTGACACAGACAGGAGGCTGGGCAGAGGGGCCATGTGCCAGGCTGTAGGGGAGAGGCTGGTGGGAGGAGTGCTTGGGCATAGCGTCAGGTGTCAGGTTTTTATCTGAGCCCCTGGGGCCGTGAGGTCTGCAGAGGAAATGCGACCTCCCACCCAGGGCTGGAGGCTGCGCTCACTTGCTTAGCAGTGTGGCTGATTGAGCAGGTCACCTCTGAACCACAGATCCTCTTCCCTGCAGGGGGGCAACTACAGCCCCCCACACCCAGGGGTCCTGGGGGATTAACTTGGAGGATATAGGAGGATACACATCCTGGTACCTGCTCAGGGAAGAATGTGGGCAAATCTTCCTCCTCTTTCTATCCTAATCCTGCCAACCGCACCCTCCAGTGCTGTGGCCGGGACTCAGAGGCAGATGTTCACCACTCCATCATGATTGCCGTCTGGAGAGACTTTCTTTTCTGCTGGATAAACAGAGACAGAAACCTGGCTTCTCACCCTGCCTACTGCAGGGACACGTGACACCTTGCTCTGAGTCCCGGTGTCTTCATCCATGAAGGGGGCACCAACACCCACCCTGAGGGTATCATGAGCCCCAAGTGCCCCCAAACCCAGTCCAGGAACCACCTGCCAAGGGGGCCTTCCCCTCTGCCCACCTTTCTGCCATGGCCCCGGCTTCCCTCATGGCTCTCCTCTCCATGGACGAGGCCTGGGCCTGCCTCACCTCTCCAGGCCAACGTCGTGGAGCCAGAGTTGTTTGATGACAACCCCTGTCGGTGGTTGGGGAAACTGAGGCCCAGAGGTGACTGTGTGGCCAGGGACCCCTAAGGGTGGGGGGGCAGAGCAAACCGTGGACCCAGAAGGGTCCCTCTGCAGGCAGCCTGGGCTCTGAGCCCACCCCGTCCCAAGCCAGTGTCGTGGGTAGCATGGGGCGTGTCCCTGTGCCAGGCCACAGAGCAGCACCTTCCATCACTGGTTTCCTGCTCAGGGTTCTCCGTTGGGCTCTCAGGAGATTTCAGGCAAAACAAAATAAAGCAGCCACTGCCAGGCAGAGGAGGGCTTGGCCTGCGTGGAGGGTGCTGGCTGGAACGCCGACCCGCTCAGGGGTCATGTGTGCCTGGCCCGAGCCTGTCACAGATGCAGTTCCTACCAGATATACATAGACATGCATATGTTTTCCTTAACTCCTGTATTTTAATCCCATGGCTGAGTTGGTAGGAAAGTGGGGAAAAGAAAGAATCCAAATCTTCCGTTGCAGCTCAGTGTGGAATTCAAAAGGAGATACTCCTCGGTGCAGACAGCAGTGTTAGTACTTTACAGAAGCAGCTCCAGGCTTTGGATCCTGCCCCCGACTCCGGGGGTGGGGGCTGCAGGGGGGGGGAACACGTTGCCGTGGCACTTGCTGGCGAGGAAGCCGCCCTTCCCGGCTGTGCTGGCAGCCGGCTGTATTTTTATATCACATCCATCGGCAGGGCTCAAATATTCCAGTGCAGCGTCGGATCAAAACACACGGCGCCTGCAGGCCCATCTCGAGTCTGGTTGGACAGCCTCGGCCTTTCCACAAGCCAAGTCCCTACCTCCCGTCAGCCCATGGTGGCCCCACGTGCAAGGGGCGGGGGAGGAACAGCCCCAGGACCCTGTGCGGAGTGCCACGGGCACCCCTAGATACAGATGACTCTGCCATCCCTGGGCATGCATTGGCGGCCTCTGCTATGTGCCAGGGGGATCTGAGAACCGTGACATGGAGGTGGGGTGGGGGCTGACAAAGACAGGAGGGTCCCTAGAGCTGAGGAGCAGAGGAGGGAGAGACTCCGGTCTTCAAGGCCCAGGGGAGCCTTTTCCATCCTGGGGTCCCCGTTGTCCTCCCACGGGGTCTACCTTGAGTGGCCAGGGGACACTTGGCCTCCACTCCCGAGGGTCAGCACCCTCTGTGTCCTGGCAGGCCTGGGGAGGGCATGAACTGCAGCAGGCAGTGGAGGATGACGGAGCGGCTGGGCCCTGACAGGCTCCCCGCGCCATGCCCTGCCTGACCCACTGGTGGAAACGAGCTGCCAGTGTCTCCAGCCTGGACCGGGGCCTCTGCTCCAGTGGGGCTCAGTGCCACTCTGCCGAGATCTGCCTGGGAAGCAGAATCCACTGCAAACTCCGGGCCAAATAAAGCTCTGGGGTTCAAAAATGCCTTTCTCTCCTGCCAAGAGGGTTTGTGGCTGCTCTCAGGAAAAGCCTTGGGTACAATAGTGTCGTTATGGTCCTGATAAGGAATCAAGCCGTGCCACGCAGAGATGGGGTGCTGGCCCAGAACGCTCGGTTAAAGACATTCTGCCCTTAGATCTGAGCACAAAACATGCCCAGAGCTGCCTGGCAGCCATGGAGAAAAAGGAAACAGGATACGAACTCCCTCTTACCACCTGATGTAAGGTTGACAGGGGAATCTGTAGACCAGGCATTGGCAGCTGGACCTACCTAGAAACCCACCAATCCCACAAAGCCTCTACAACTCTGGAGACTCGGCCTCCAGGGGAGGGCTTTGGGGACTGCAGAGAACCTCAGAGGGACATTCCTGCCATATTCCCTATTGAGGTGGGGGAATGGTCGCACCGCAGTCCTGGCCTCCATCTCCAGCTGTACCAGACTGGGCCATTTATTATTCATTCCAGCAACACTCCCCGCCAGGCCCTGGCTCAGCGCTGGGGAGGCCGTGGGGAAGGACAGTCATGGGGGAGGGGCTCCCAACTCAGTATCCCAGACTGGCCCCGTGGCTGTGCAGCCTCCACTGGCCCAGCACTGTCCCCCCCTCCCAGGGCTCCCACGCAGGTCACGATCTGCCGCCAGCTCCTCCGTCCTCACCTCTGCTCGTCCCA